GCTAGTCAGTACCTGCTTTCTCAATACTCAAAACTGGCAGAAAGAAACATAACAGGAAGTCCATCTTCATCTTAAATATTTCATCACTCAAGACTACAAATTCAAAAATATAAGCAAGAACTGTCAGTGAATCCTATTATTAAAAAAAAAAGAAACCATAAAACAGTAGAATCAAACAGCTGTTTGCATGATACATGGAGCTTCATTACATCAAGATTTTTGCTTTTTTTTTTTTTTTTACAGCTACACAAGTCTTTTGTGAAGAGACTGAAGGCTATGATGGCATAAGTACAATTAACTTGTTATCCTTTCTAACACGTAGATTAGTAACAAACTTTTCAAGTTTCAAAGTTGCATCAGGAATTTTGGATACACTTTTTTCTGCTACTCTTGCCTTCTACAGACACTCTGACAGTCTATGCAATTATTAGATGGCTTACTGAACTTACTACAAATTCCAAGCACTCAAGAACTCCCTTATGCCCTCTTTGCCTCAAAAAATTACTATGGAGCACACATCTCTTTCTGGTAGCTGAAAGAAAATGTCTTCTACGACCGCTATAAAATTTAAATGCCAGCTTAATATGAAGTGTTAAACATGGATTCAGATAATTCATCACTACAGTGTGTTTCAAAGCAAAGCCCACAAAGCAAAATGTCATTCAGAACATACATTTTAAATAACAGAAAGCAAATTAACAATTTCACAGACCAGTTGCTGAAAATAATAATAATAAAAACATGTTGACAGAACAGACTAGTATGAAGGAATGAAACACTTGCCATCTCACTGTGTAAGTGCCCACTGTCCCCACTTCAAATGTATCTAGAACATGTAGCAATTCATTACAGGTTTATTGTTACCTTCCACACAGAAGGGTGGAACTTCGCAATTTCAGAACATTGAGCACATGGGAATGAAGGTGGAGCTCTGAATATAAGACAACAAGGATTGTCAAAATCACATTTTACAACCTAGACTTATTGAAACAGCATTTTTCACATAGAAATTCAAAATGAAACTAAGATGGTACTGCTTCTTTGCTCAAATTGAGGTGATATGACCTCAGAGAAAGCTCAGCACACTCGAGTTACCAACTTTCCTGCACTTGGAGAAGTCTCACAAAACCACTCTCTCCCCCAGCAGCGATCTTCCTGCTAGCTCAGCAGGCAGGAGAGCTAGGCTGAAGCTCCAGGGAAGTAATACTCTGCATGAAAGTAACTGGTGCTGACACTGAAAGACAGCAGCGTAAACAGGACTGACAGCTAAGGAAGCTGTACCCACAGAAACGATGCCCATCACACGGTGTTTCGATTTCTGAGGAAAGAGAACTTCTGTTTACTGAAAGCACAAAGCCAATAAAAATCCACTGAAAAACCCAGCTCTACATTCACTCTCACGTTCTCATGGAACTGCTAATGCAGCTTCTACTAAAAGGCCAATACAACAGTGATAATTTCACTACAAACACAACCCACGTCAGAAATCCAGTGCATGGATTTGTTGTTGCTGTTCTTGTCTAGCATCCAAGGAACATAAAAATGGGGGAAAAAAAATTAAGCAAAACTGATATGACATTAAAAACCTACCTGCAAGACTCACATTCCATTTCTGATGGATTCAGTTTCTGATGACAAACTAAGGCAAGCTCAAGATCATGTGCACAAGCACCTGGCATACTGAAATTAAGACTGCTCTAAGTAAAATGCTTCTAAGTTACTAAATTAAGAGAAAGTGCATGCTGACTTTTCTCACACAACCAATTATCATCAGATGGTTTCATGAGACTGTACAACTGAAGGAAGTAAAAAGCTGAGCTTCAACACTGCCAAACAGCAAAGATGCTAACCAGTGCCTCGTTAGTACAGATCTCAACAGCATGAAGGAAACATGGCCTTGTGCATTTCTTCTGATTTTAACAGTAGCTAAGAATCTGTGCAAATGCAAAACTGAGTCTGTACAGTGCTTCGGGATACACCCAATTCACCATACAGAAGTCTTCTCTCTGAAGTTGTTACACTACTGCATTGTTCAGAAGTATCGGCTTTGAGATGCACAAGACCACCACAAAAAATATAACAGAGGTTCAAGTTCTGCCTCATCCCTTCAACATTAAGTTTCTCAAACTAAAGAGTGAATAAGTTTTCACCAATTCTGAGACAACTGCAAAAAAGCCTCACTGAAACTGAAATCTCTAAAAAATACTTAGAATAGCCAAGTAACTCCTTAAACTCCATTAAACTGGATTCAAATGCAATCTATGGGCTGAAGTAAATGTCATTAAATTATAACTGTAAAAAAAAAAAAAAAAAAAAGTGCAACACTTCCACTGCAACAAGAAGCATTCTGCCAAGACTAAGGAACGTATTTTGAAACACTTCCATGGGGATAGGGAACAGAAAAATAAAGTAGCCAAGTACATTAATACATGGGTGTTTTTAAAAACACTTCCATTTAAGGATCACATTACTCATTCCCCTAGAAATACTGATTAAAAAAAAAAAAAAAAAAACAAACATGTAACGAAGACCAGAAACTTACAGCACTGCTTTCTAGTACACCTTGGTATGTTCATGTACTGAGTAATGTGGAAAATAGATTTGATACAGCTGACAACAACTACAAGCTTGAAAAAATGCTCATGGTTTCTCAGTGACAAAACATTTATGGAGTCAGAATTGCTGATGAGCAAAATACTGTACAGTAACTGTTATGCTTAGTGGTCCAACATAACCAACATCTCTTATTATATGTGTCGTGCTGCCCCTTGTTAGCAGCAGAGGTGACAAAAGTCCAAACTACAATTAATTTCATTCTAAAATGGTAAACTTGTAGAGGGAATGCAGTCATTTTTAAATGGTAGTTGGTCATGCCAACAAAACTAAGTATCAGACTCTCAGTTCAGATGATTAACTGCCTAAAGTCACTTGATCGAGTCACTGCAACTAACATTACGGAACACAGTAGTACTGGAGCATCTCGTAAGTTGTCATGACAACTTACAACTGGAAAACAACCAATATTATTAACATGGACAGGAGAAACACATCATGCTTGCAAGTGCCCTACTGTATACAGTCCCAGCTGAATCCTTATTTACAAGCTCCTCATGACTATCATCTTGAAAAACAGATAAACAAGAACATTCAATTTAAAAAGTGTACTCGTGCTGTGAAATCTTCAGTCAAACTCCTATTACGCACTAAAATCAAAACAAATAATGAACCTTAAAAAGAACATGTCATACAACTTGATATTACTCCTCCATTAAGGCTGATAATTGAAAGTAAAGTGATATTGTATTGTTACACTTGACAACAGTTTTGAAATACAGTAAACAGAGACTCCAAATGTCAGTAGACAGTATTAAAAAAGGAAGGAAAAACTCGCACAGGAAACAAGGTAACAGAATAAATGTTACACAACTAAGTGAAGAGAAACAATAAGACAGTAATACCAATCACAACAGCTTTTAATGGGTCATGCGATGATCCCGACCCTCCCAAAAGGCACAACGGTATGAAGAATTCCTCCCGCTCACCTCCCCCAACAGGGCTCCTGCCTTAACGCGAGGAACCTGCAAGCACTGACCTGATGAGCCGGGAATCCCAAAGCAGGCCCTAAGCAGTACAAAGCCTGGGGCGGTGCCTGTAATCCTCCCCCACCCCACCTCTCCCAAAAAGAACCATTTCCAGTGTTACCCCCCCCTCCCCCAGCCCCACGCCCACTCAACTGCCCAGCGGTCGAGGAGCCCCAATAGCTCTCCTCCATCACGCGCCCCAGGAGAAGGTGGAGAAATCCCCGCGGCGACGGGACCCGGCTCATCCAGAGCAGCAGGGCACGGCCTCGGGCACCCCGCCATCACGGCCCCCGGCTCCAGCACGGCCCCGCTCCACTTCAAGCGTTTGCGGCCCGCCGAGCTCCGCGGAGTCCTGGGCCGTCCCGCCCGGCTCGGCCGCCCGCAACCCACTCAGTGGGGCCGCACAGCGGGGCTAAGGAGCCTACGTCCCCCGGCCGCCTCCAGCGTCGGGCGGAGGCCGCCGCCGCCTCCCCTGGGCCTGGGCCTTTCCCTTCCCCGTGCCATCTTGATCGTCCGCGTCCGGGCCTCCGCACTCACCACCCGCCGCCGTCTCCTCAGCTCTCGCTCCGCTGCTCTCTCCGGTCCTCAGCGGGCTCGGTGCCGGCTCGCCCCGCTCCGTCCGTCCCCAAGAAGCCGCAGCGTCGCCCTGCCTCCCCTCTCAGGCGGCCATTTTCTGCTCCATTGTTACCAAGGAACGGGGGCCCGGAAGCGGCTGCCGACAGCGGAAGTAAAGGCACGGACCTTTGCGCACGCGCAGACGGCGCCTCCGGGGCGGGGCGGGGACGCGCACCAACGAGAGGAGAGCGGAGCACCTCCGAAGAGGATAGAGAGGCCCGAGAGCCGTGCTGAGGGGAGGGGCGCCGCCATTTTGAAGAGGGGCAAAGGCGGAGGGGATGGGGCCGTTGGTATGGAGGTGAGGGGAAGTCCGGCCAGCGGTCTGCCCGCAGCCTCCTGCTATCCCAGGGCTCAGCATAGCCCCCGAGCGATGCTGTTCGCGTGAAGGAGTGGTATGGCCCGTCTATCTACCAAGAGCCACGGGGGCCATTTCGTGTTACCTCACGGTTACCACCCGTACGAGCCGTAGTGGGTGAAGGTGCCAGCAGCGAGGCTGAAGGTGGCCAGCGTTTCCTAGCTCTTAAGGAAAAAACGTCAGCAAGGCTGTTGTCAACGGCATTCACCCTCCTTGCCTTGCTAGCATGGTTTCCTTCTCACACTGGCTACACTGCCCCAGTGTTGTATGATGAAGATGAGTCACACTGCAGAAAAGCCAGATGTTCCTATTTGACAGTGTAAGCTTAAATTAAGCACTACAATTCCGCAGTTCTGTAGGCCTGCTTTTAGGTTAAATGTCACTGTAGTTCTGCTTTCGCTAAAACTGTGTTCCACTTGTGTTACCTGTAGGGTCAGTGCATCTCCCTTCTGGCAGGTTTGTGGAGGAGCAGGATCAGGAATCAATAAAGTGCAGAAGGAAAACTGTGACTGAAAAGATGAGAGAGGTAGGAGAGAGAAAACCACAAGCTTGATTTTGAACCCACAGGGGCTGGGGTGCCAGGCTGAGTACTAGCTTAAGGAAAAGGAAAGGTTAAAGCTTTGCAGAGGATGCAAGGGATTCCTGCAGAAGCTGGAAAAGATCCCATGTTACTGTCTTAGAAGTATTTATTGAAAATGACGTTGGAAAAACTAAAGTTCCTTGGAAGTCATCTTCACAGAATCACAGAAATGCCAAGGTTGGAAATGACCTACAAGATCATCCAGTCCAACCATCCACCCATCACCAATAGCTCTCACTGAATCATGTCCCTCAACACAACGTCCAAACGTTCCTTGAACACCTTCAGGGTCGGTGACTCCACCACATCCCTGGGCAGTCCATTCCAGTGCCTGACCGCTCTTTCAGAGAAGTAGTACTTCCTAACGTCCAGCCTAAATCTCCCCTGGTGCAGTTTGAAGCCATTTCCTCTAGTTCTACCACCAGTTACATGAGAGAAAAGGCTAACCCCCAGCTCACTATAACCTCCCTTTGGGTATTTATAGAGGCTCCCCTGAGCCTCCTCTTCTCCAGATTGAACATTCCCAGCTCCTTCAGCTGCTCCTCATAAGCCCTGTGCTCCAGACCTCTCACCAGCTTTGTTGCCCTTCTTTGAACCCACTCCAGGGCCTCAATGTCTTTCTTGCACTGAGGGGCCCGAAACTGGACACAGTACTCAAGGTGAGGCCTCACCAGAGCTGAGTACAGGGGGACAATCACTTTCCTGTTCCTGCTGGCAACATTGTTTCTGATGCAAGCCAGGATGCCATTGACTGCCTTGGCCACCTGGGCACACTGCTGGCTCATGTTCAGCATCAATCAGCACTCCCAGGTCCATTTCCTCTACACAGTCTTCCAGCCACTCTGCCCCAAGCCTGTAGTGTTGCTTGGTGTTGTTGTGGCTGAAGTGCAGGACCTGGCATTTGGCTTTGTTGAACATCTTTGTTGTCTTCCCTTGGAATATAACAACTCAAAGGCAGCTGTAGTGTTTGAGCAGGAGAGAATGGAGTGGTCAGTTGCAGGTTTTTTTTCTAATCAGTTTTACTTGCTACAGGATGGGAGCACGAAAGGAAATTGATTGGAAGCTTGATAGAACTAAGGCCATGATGTCAAAACCATTACTAAAGGAGCAATCTCAGTTCTATCGGATTAGATGTGCATCCCCAACTATATTTTTTTGTTGAATTAGAGCATAAAACATGGAAGCTTATTCCAGCTGCAGGTAGAGGGATCATATCTGATATAGATGGCATGATGGATTGGTGATGCCTACTTCAGCATAAAACTTGCCTATAGAAGGTTAACTTGTTATGTTTTATTTAAAGCAAATGGGAGCTGAGAGACTAAGTTTAAATCACTTTGGTACTTTGCAGTATAGCTGCCATGTGGATTGTGCAATACCGTAGGATTTACTGTAAGGTCGAATATTAATCACATTAATCAATGTGAATAAAATTGGAGAAAAAAAAAAAAAGTAGAAAAAAAGGGGAGGAATAAGAGTGAATTCAATGTAAAAAAACAATTCTACAATTTCTAATGCACTGAAATGTTGGTCGTTGGGAGAACTACACCACAATTTTGCTATAGGTTTGGGATTTTTTTCCCAGTACTGCAAAGTTCTCAATGCAAATATATTTTCCCCTACAATCTTTACACTACACTGATCTATCTACATATGGTGAATAGATCTTTTCATGTAGATAGACTCCAGGGTTTATAGAAAATATTGTCTGAAGAGAGAAAGACCCCGTGGTTCGGTATGTAAGCTTTCTTTATTTGGCAGCCATCTAGGCAAAAAATCATTCCAATGTAAAACATCAGTAATTCAGGGAGCAGATGATCAGTGCACAATTGATCCATTTTTATCACGGAAAGCTTTGTGCTGCCAATTGATAAGCCACTGAGTGTCAGCACTGGCAATTGGTAAATCAGCAGGACATCCATCAGAGTACTCCAGTGATGGACCTTAAAGAACTGAAGAAGCAGGCAGTGATGGGACTACAGCAGTGACTTATGCATGAACATGAACCTAGTATTTGCTCCCTAACATTTCTGAATACGAGGCAACATCAGAGCAGGATAAAAGTGGCTTTGTTATACACTGGTAACCTAAGCAGCAAAATGTTAGAATTATTCAACAAATGGGAAGTGGAGTGTATTCTTCCATTTGAAACAAGAGATAAAATAATGCTCCTGGAGTAGTCTCAGTGTACTTGATAACGGTATTTTATGGCATTTGTTTATGACAAACAAATTGTATTTGTCTCTTTCTTTTCCCCTCAGTAATGTGCTTTGAGTAGCCAGCTGAAAGTGTAGAACATTATCAAATGGACAGCACCAGAGGAATGAAAAATACTATACTTTACTTCCATGAGTTCCTACTCTTACAGCAGTTTGCTGGAAGATGAATGTGCAGTGATGTGCAGAGATGGCAGCTGAGTTCTGCTGATCCATGGTTCATTTCTGAGGTAAAATCTTGTAGCAGAGGACTGGGGCAGATGACTGGGGACAAGCACCTGCACCCCGTCTGCAGTAAGACTGAGTGGAGATGATACACAACTACCCTCACAGGGTCCATCAGACGCAGAATAAGCTCTGATTTTTCAAAACCACTTAGTGGATTTCAGTGCCCAGTTGACATTAATAACAATTAATGGTCTGTGCATGCATATCTCCTTGTCAGCTTCAAAAAAAAATAGGATCAGGGTAGCACTGGATTTCAAACACATTGTAAGGGAAAATATATTTGCATTGAGAACTTTGCAGCAATAAGGAAAAAATCCCAAACCTATAGCAAAATCTTGGTGTAATTCATCCTTAAGTGCTTTCAGTTTGGTAATGTATGTACAGCAAAGGAGAATTACAGCACTTTTCCATGGTAAGTTTAATGTCGTTTCCTTCAATGAGGGTAAATAAATTTGCTTTAAATCCCCTAGGGTCTTAAAAACTGGTTATTTGGTATGCAGTGATAGATGAGGAAAAAAGCTTGCTTTTTTTTTTTTTTTTTTTTTTTTTTAAAAATTTTTTTTTTTTTTTTTTTTTTTTTTTTTTTTTCATCTAGAAACGTATTAAAATAATTTATTCACAATATAGATAAGTAATAATCCACATGCAGTGAGGTGAGAAAAATCAAAATCTCTTGGGAGCTTCTAAACCTGAAGCAAAAAAGAAAAAGAAAAAAATGAAAAAAAAAAAAAAAAAAGGACCTAAAATCCTTCTCTATTCCAAGTGTTAACAGAGCCAGGTACTGAGCAGGCAAATGAATCCAATTTACACTAATGTAGCAGCCCAGAATAAATCTGAACGGAAATCTAAGATTATAACAATTCCTATCAGGCTAACTTTGCTATTTTCCACCTCAGAATTGCCTACATTTCTTTATGGTGCTGGTTACAGGCCTTCTTTGTTAGGCAAGCAGAGGAAAGTTCTGTGCTTATGTCTTGCACAACAAAATATTCCCATTCAAACAATATCTCAAGCTGGTCACTTTTTAATCAGCATCAAAGAGATTTAAAGTGCCAGAGGAGGAGAATTTTGCACTTTAAAGAGGCATTTTCAGTAATTTGCTAGACTTAAATGAATTCTGATTGGAGATCTTTTTATTAGACAATGCTGCTCTCTCAAGAGAGGTTATGTATTCACGTGGGTGCCATCCCTCCACCTGCTATCTTCTTAATTCTCTGTCTGTCTGGGTGACAGGCAGAAAAGGACAAGCCTGTCTGCATAAGACATGGTGGAGGTATTACTTCTTGCAATAAAGCAGGGACCTGTGGGGGAAAATATGACTTTTATCTGAGCAAATGAGGTATATTCCTGTCATACTGATAGCAATTCCAAGCAAAATAACACAGGACTGTTAAAAAGCCTCATTGATAAACCATTTCAAAAGATACTGCAACGTTAGGAAAACTAGGCTTTGTCAATTTAACTAAATATCATGATTTTCAAGTAGTACTGCTGAAACAATAAACCTTCAGTTGGTAAGACAGCTGATCTTGTCTTTCACAATATTTTGACTGAGAAAGAGGAACAATGTAAGTCATATGACAAGAATTAATTGGACTGAAAACTAACCGACAGGTCTCAGAGTGCAATTGTAAGCAGACTCATCACTGAGCACAGCACAGTTTCCTTGCTATCGGTTCTTGACCCTGCACCACTTAATGTGTGATCAATGACCTAAAAGAAAGCACAGAATCATTACTGGTGGTTTGCAGGCAAGCCAAAGTTTGAGACAGGTCACTGATACAAAACCTCATCTGGATCACTTAATGAGCTAAGCCTAAGCACACAACATGTTTTTAAATGCCACCAGATGTAAAGTCATCCGCCTAAGAATAGAATGGCAGCTGGACTGCAGGACAGGAGAGAAAGTCCTAGAAAACAGGGATTCCCAAGAGGAATAATCAGGTGTGATAACAGGTTCTATCTCTTCCACAGAAGCCAAAAGTAAGGACACCCAGGAAGATGACAGAGGTTTGTACCTCTGTTGTAGGCATGGCTGTGAGTGCTGCTGGGATCCCACTGCCCCTTTGTGGAAAGGAACAGAGGAAGACTTCCAAGGGGCTGGGCAGCAACACCTGTGTAAGAAACACCCAAGAAGCACAGTTCATTAAGAAAGAAAAGGTTAGTGGACACTTCAAATGCAGCCTCAATGAGTGTGCATGAGAAATTTAACATAAAGCCTTCTTTATCTGGCTGAGCGATGTTTGGTAGCTGGGTATCAACACTCCATTGCAGTGTATACACTAGAAAACTTTTAGCATTGGAGTGAGTTGTCCACTGAAATAGCTCACCAGTAATTTGCCTGTTATGGCAGTGTCCATCATTGGTAATATGTAACAATATGTGTGCACTCTCAGGTGCACGAAAGGGCCGTTCCCAGTTCTCTCACCCCCACTTGTAGTTGTAGGCAGCGGTCATCACTGGCTACAGCTTTTCAACACTTTGTCTCACCTTGTCAGCATGAGTCATAGCTGCTCTGAGCAACACAAGGTGTGGGGCAATCAGCATTTGCAAATATAAAAAAAAAACCAAACAGCTACCAGAACAGCTTTATTGCTCTAACTCTGTGCTGTAAGAACCATATCAGCTGCAGAGAAACATAAGCATGTTACGATGCAAGGGTTCCTCCAAATAACACCAGCTTATTGCTGCCCCTTGGCATTTTGAAAGCACTGGTGCCTGCTGGGCTGTAGCTGTTTGTCCAGGGAATAAGGACTCTGGGCAGGTTTTATGTTTTCATTTGTGTTGATAAGTTAGAGTGGAGGGTTTGTAAAGTGTTTTTTTTTTTTTCCCTCTTTTTTTTTCTTTTCTCAATATTTTACTTATTGTCCTTAGGAGAAAAATGGGAAGAATAAAAGAGGGGAAACACAGGACAGGGCTGGGGGAAGAGAAATCTTTCACAGACATTTTACTATTCAGTGTTGATGGCTCCCTCTTATTTGCATTAAACCCACTGTTTTGGTGATCCCCCACCAATCCTTATATTTGGATGGTATTTCTGACATCTCATGTGTCTCCTGAGTGTAAGTGGGTGCCTCTCTCCACTGCCATCTGGTTAATCACACGAGTAGCAGGGGGTCCCACAAAAAGCTGATGCCTCTTCCTTTTTGCAGCTGTTTCAACAGCAAATGATAATTCCTCTCTCAATGTTTTGCTCTTTCTGAGAATTTAAAAATAACTTGCCTAATGAAGCAGTGCTGAGCAGCTCATGTGTCCAGACAGATAGGAGTGAAATGCTTTGGTTTAAAATGCAAAGTCGTCTGTGGCGGCAGTGCCTTTGAACAAGTTCCCCAAGGCCATTTTACAAATAATCCCAAGACCAGCTGAAATTAATGCAGAAAGAAATTCAGAGAATTGCAGGAGAATCATGTTGGAGGGCCTGGGATTGGGGAAGACAGTCCTGGATGAGCAGTTATCAGGCCCATCCTCCAACACCCCATTAGCAGAGCTGCTTAATTACTCTGTTGTGGACAGAGTTTCAAGTAAGTGTTCTGTTGCAGGGACATCAGGAACATGAAAGAAAAGTGTTCCTTGTTCTGAACATTTCATGAAAATCAGTTTATCTGTCCTGCTGATCCCCAGTTAGAGCAATGAGAAGCCAGAGGCTGCAAGCTGAGGCATCTCAGAAGAGCCTCACATGAAGGAAAAAACAACCTGGAGATGTAGGTGCTCCACTGCAGCAGGACACGTCTGTTTGGCCAGGAAGGCAGCATTGAGCATGTCTATTCAAAAGGACAGGGCATGTGAGAGCTGTGAAGAATGAACAACTGTGCATTTCCAAAAGTAGCTGTAGAAGTGACTAGAAAAATTAGCTGGGCATGGTATTTTGATGATCTTAAAGGTTTCTGGCAACACAAGCCATTATGAGATTCTACGATATGCTGGGAGGCAACCTAATGCTATGAAGAGACAGGCACAAGTCTGGGAGATACTTGGTTTCTTAGCCTGTGCCAAGACTGGACACGGAAACGCCTCCCCTGCCCCTTTCTCATTTTTTTAGCTGCTTGGATTGATTTTCAGCATATTGTTTTCTTGTTCTTCAGAATCAAATCATTTACAGTGCGAGTCCTCGTAGTTTCAGGCTTGCTTGTGTGGGTACCATAATGTTTATTAGAGAGCATATGTTATTCTTTCTAATATGTCAATGATATAATCCTTTTTTTTTTCTTTTTTTCTTTTTTTTTCCCAGCTAGTTGAATGATTGTTACATTCTTCAAACCAATTCTCGTTTTTCTTTAATTGCTTCTGATGCCCTTGGCCCTGTGAAACGACAGAGTCTGTTGCTCAGTGAGTTACGAGATCATTGATCCTAGAAGCTGGTGGTTTTATTTGGGCCAGAGAGGATTTGGGAAGCAACTGCCAAACAAATTTTCCAGACAGAAACTCATGCTACTGCCTATGAGAGCCTATAAGTCCTATATGATGAGCAGCGTGTCTGCATGTTTTTATTGAGTTTTCTTTAGGAAATGCCAGCTCTAGAGTGTAATTTGTCATTCCATTGAATCATGTGTCAAATATTCTGTAGTATAAAAGATTAACTGAAGCCAAAACAAAAGGATTGTGTGTTTCTTCGACTCTGTGCTCGTAAAAATAACACAAAGCAAAGGAAGTCCAGGGACTTCTGTCACTAAGATGCAGCTGCTCAAAGATTGGGAGTTTTCTCCCTCTGTTCAGAGTAATGAATCACCATCACCTCAGCCTGGACCTCTGAGGACACTGTTCATAGCTATTGCCCAGGCACTGAGTGTCACAACTTCATGTGCAAATCCTTTATGCACGAGCACACACATCTGTGCAAGGTTGAGGCTTCTCTCTGCGGGCTTACAAATTACAGCACAGCTCCTTAGGACAAATGGAGGTCCAGCTCACAGGGAGATTTTCCATTAGCAGCTGCAACTGACCTTTTGTCTCCTCAGGGGGGAGAAATCCCAGAAGCTGTGTCTGCACTGTGGCCTCCAACAGCTGCTGATCACCACTGCTGATCCTTGCCCCCGGCAGCCGACTCAACATACCACTGCTGTAGCAGTTGCTTACCATCAAAACGTACCCCTTATCTCTCAGCCTGCAGTTTGTGCTCTTTCTCTTTATTGTCCTCATGTAATCATCAGACATTTCTGGGTTTCATCATGATAAATACCAGACTGTTGAATCTCTAGGGCTGCCAAGAAATGCATTTCAGCATAGCAGAAATAGAGCTGCTTTTTTTTTTTTATTATTATTTTTTCAATTGCTTCCTTTAGTTTAACATTTATTCCTGGTATTGTTGTCCCTAAAAGGATAAATAGGGCTGCATCTTGCTAGCAAGTTACTCCAAATAACATGATGTACCAAAGGCTATGAAGACCAACTATATTACATAGAGATAATAATGTAAAGAGTATAATAACATGCTATTATCATACAGGTGCACTGCAGATTTAAATTAGATTGACTCATCTGCTGGTTTTGCACCTTTCACTGCTCAAAATTGGCAGATATTTTCCTCTGTACCATCAGTGCACCGAAATAGGAGTATGTCAATCACAGCCCTGCATACTGCATGGTAAAGGCTTTATGATCACACTATACTGCATGATGTAAGGCATGAGAGATCCTGGTCATCTTTGGTAAAACATCTGAAGGTGTCTTTTCTATCTCCAACTTTCTAAATGCCATGGGCTTCTCTTTCCGTCTTTACAAAGAAGACAGGAGATGTGCAATGTGCGAGCAGATAAGAAATACACGGCACGTGATAGACAGGTTGGTAAGTCAGGCATTACTCAGGTTATTTGCTCTAGATCATCATCTGAAGGAGCATTCAGCAATGCTGAGTGACTCTCTGAAGTGGGGATGCTTTGATAGACAAAACCGACTCCCACAGACAATTGCTGTTTGCCGCTGCAACAACTTGTACTGCAGTTTCAGACAGCAGGACAGACAGTGCTCAGTCAAGCTCAGTTTCCTCTTTTCCTCAATTCCAGTCCCCACTTTGCCAGCCTCCAGTCAGCGTTCCCAAGCCACTTCTGCCACACAACCTAGCTATAACAATTCTTGTCCTCCAGAGAACATGTTCCTCAGATAATTTTCACTGTTGTCTGCAGCTGCATTTATAGTCACCCACTCCAATTGTTATTTCCACTGAAAGGCTAGAAGCCTAATCTTGCATAATCATGCAGTCTAGAAGATCTCTAAATGAATTTTAATGGTAAAGGGAAAAAACAGTGCAGGTATATAAAGGAATTAGAAGTAGCTCTTATACTTCATGTGGGAAAAAAAAAAGTAGAAAAAACCCCGTGATGCATAATGGAGCAGAAACTCACCTACACTTGTCTCTCTGTAGCACAGAGGCCATGCCCAGGATCAGACCATGCTGTCCTTTGGCTGCTGGGGGAGCCTTGGAATGGCTCACCCCAGGAAAGGCTCCTGAGCCCTTCTGGCTCTGGTGGCCCTTCCCTCTCCAGGTGTCAAACTGCTCCCCTTTATCCACGTTAAGACAGCTCAATATATGAACTTGAAAAGGAAAATCCAATCAACACAGCTTATGGTATCTCATGGTACCAGAGACAGAAAGACTTTGATTTTAGCACACCATTTCTTCCTCCGAGTTGCATTCATGCACACTGCAGTAAAACAAGTAACAATAGTAAAGCAACAGTAAAGCAAAGGACAATCTAAAACCTGGATTCAGTTTTCTCATGAAAACCTGCACTTCCCTTCAAGATCATCCCTACAGCCCAGAGGAGCAGGAAATGATCCTCTTTCCTGCCAGTATGTATGAAATAAGTTATTATCCAGAGTCCAATCTCCTGTTCTTGAGCCATTCCCAGGGGCCATGTTAGCCTCAACACTGAACACCTCTGCAGCTAGTGACAGTTCCTATGCTGACCATACAGCTCTGCTATCCCAACCCAGCTACGGAGCCAAGACCATCCCGAGATTGTTTCTGTGAGCTGTACTGAATGTTGTGGCACCTTTGATCTCCATCTGGAGTACCTTCCCAGAGCAGACCTACCCTTTCATTCCTCCACAGGCAGAAGCTGTGGGTAACATACATCTCAACTTGTTTGACTTCTGCCAGCAAAACGACAGAGGCATTGCTATAGGAGGATTCCAAATGGCATGAAACCTGTCTATGTCCTTAAACATAGGGATAGAGACACTCTTGAGCAGAGCTGGAGGGATAAAACATCAATGTGTGGCAGAAAGCAGTGGGTTCAAGGAGACCCCAATTTTCAGCTGCTGTCCCAGGACTTGGGATGATGATTCCTGACCAGCGCTCATGGAGGAAGTTGGGAAGAAGGGATTGAGGTTGTTCAGGAGTAGCATAGGGAGTGCAAAATGAAAGGACAGCAGAGGGTGGCAGACAAGAAATGTTTGCCTTGATAATGCGGAACAGAGGCTGTGGGAAGGCATGTTGGGGAGGAGGAAGAGCACAGATGTTCCTTTCTTTTGGAAGGAACCAGGAAGATGCTGTGCAGAGACAGAAGCACAGAAGGAGGGGAGTGTTTGAGATATAGTTTTTTAGGTGGTAAGAGATAAACATGGAGGGGGTATTCAATGAAATGAGAAAAATAAGGATTTTGCAGCTTGGCAGATAATGAAACCAAAAGAGAAGAGGAATAAGCTGGCCTCCCCAGTTACTTCCTCACACCCAGGACACAGGCAACAGGGACATAATGACTCTTATGGTCTGGGAGACATGGTGCAGAATGCCACCAAACACTGCTAGAATACTTTTCTTGCATTGTGAGGATTTAGACATTTTCCCTTTTTTCAATTTCTTCCAAACATTCTGAGTCTCATTTCTTTCTCTCACATCTGCAAGAGTTTATGTCTTCCAAAACCTTATAGACAGCTACCACATCTTCCCTCGCATCATTTACTATGTAACTTCAGCAAGGAACAGTAAAATGACAAAAACCCAAAGAAGCAGAAAGGCAAAGAAGCAACACAGACGTTTCACTGCATTTGGCAGTAAATCAGTGACTCCTGTAGTTCAGACTGGTATCACTGTTGTGCATTTAAATTACACGCACTTTCCAGGCATGCAATAAAATAAATGTCACAGCAGATATCTCAGACCTATGTGTATTCAGGGCTTTAGAGCATCCCAAACCATCAGCAGTGCAGGAAAGCAGAAGTGAAATTTCAGCCCCACAGCATGGTGGTCCCAGTGCTGGTGGGAGCAAACTGCTCTATGGCACCGATGCTCCTGCAGAAGAAGACCAGCTGCTTGCTGGTGTCAAACCTGTTGGAGCTCTGTGTCTCTGGAATCTCCTTTTTCCCCAATTAAGAGAAATTTATCAGGGAATTCAAAAGCTATGGAAGTGACCCAAAGGCAGGCTGATGATGCAAATTGTTGAAGCTCTCCTTCCTTAGGAAATCAGCTTAAAACACTAATGACTGGAGAAACTGCTTCACAGCCCATTATTTGGTGGCCATTTACATTTCAAGGTCTCTATCTCCAGTGAGAGAGCATGTGTGAATCTTTCCTTTCTCGTAATTAAAGCTTATGAGCTGGAGACTCATTTTTAAAGTGCCTTGTTCTATTGATCTGTAATGCCACTTTAGAGGTGAAAACTAATTATATTAGATTTTAATCAACTCAGATTTGGTCATGGATAATGCTTTCAGCTGGAGGAATCGAGTTAACTGTCTCTTGGATTTTCCTATTTACATTTTAACTGCATTGTGCAAGAATAATGTAGCATTTTCATTCCAGAGGAATTAGTCACTTTCTGTACGTAGAAATCTTCAGCATGGAGTAATCTCACACATATTCAGCCAAACAGGTAAGCACATACTGAAGTCTACAATTAAAATCCTTAATTAAATCCCTAAATTAAGCACATACTTAAATGCTCTGCTAAAGAGCGATATAATCTCTAACATGCTTAAGATAAAGTGCATGTTTAAGTGTTTTACTGAACCAGTGCAACACAAAGATGTTTGTGAAGTAATACTGCTATAGGTGTAACCCCCACTGAAACACCTGCGCCTTGTCTGTGAAAGCCTGCGTGCCCTCATCAACACCAACTCCACACGGCTTGCGCTGCTGCTCCCACCTGCAGTTTGGGACCTGTAAAAGCCTATGTGGCTGTGGCTGGGTTGGAGGGAGTTTGGGGTTTGGCAGGTGGTCCCTGCAGAGCTGGAACCTGTCTTGGCATGGCTGCCAGCATCCCTCCTTGCCTCCAGGAGGCTGACATGAAGCAAGTCTTATCTCCTGTAATTGCTACAGCACATGTGTTTTCTCTGTCAGACCCCAGTGCTGCTGTGTGTGCAAAGCGGAGCATATTCCCACTTCCCACTTTACCAATGCAGCATGCTGGTAAACACATGAATTGGTTGTTTTTTTATCATGTGTTCATGGTACAAGCATTAGGTTTTGGAGGCGTGACTGCTGGAAACAAGCTGCAAAAGCCTGTTTGGGTACAACTGTGTGTGAAACTGGCCTTTAAAAATGTGCTTTACCCCTCAGCTGCTCAATGGGCTTACAACATCATTCGTTCTGTTTACACGCAATTACTTTGGTAGACCCCCCCCCCCTCCAATCTCTATAATACAGTCCATGAAAGCATAGCAAAGGAACTACTAAAACAACATACTGACTTTGAGGAGCACCCTAAACATTGTCAGGTTCAGCTTCAAACATCGATGGGAGGCAGTGAGGTTCCCACAGGTGCTGCCTTATGTATGCAGGAGGAACTGGATCTGGAGGAAAGGCCAAGAAATTGGATGTTTCCTAACAAATACAATTCCATTGGGATTTAGGGGTCAGAAACTGAAAGAACTTTAGGACTGGGGCTGGAGGAAGCAGTAGGGAAGTCAGAGCAACGCTTTTAATTCCAGTGAGCAGTTTGATTTGGCTGTGCAGCATTTCGTGGGTGTTGTGCTTGGCAGCACCTCAGCACATCCCATCCTGTGACTTCCCCTTGTGGAGTGGCCCCTCCATGCCCACAGTGAGAGCCCAAGTCCAGCAGCCACACTGGCGCTGTTGGCCATGAATCACAGCAAATCCAAAACTCTCAGTTGCCTTGGCCTGATGCTGCTCAGGATTTGGAAAGCATTTGCATTCTCTCTCTTGCACCTTGATGCCATTAACACTGACAGGCACATTGCTGCATGCACAATGTCTGTTTTCTGTGCAGGACCTGTACTCGTGCTGGAACTATCTCCAGAGAGGTAGCACTTGTCCCGCTCAGGCCAGTAGCCCCACCACCTTGCACTTATCAGAGAGCAGAGACCAGCCAACAGTTCCGACTCACCACTCTGCATCTGGCATCCCAGCATTGGCACCACACAACGTGGGAAACATCAAGATCTTGTGCCATCACTTTGGGCTGCGCTTCAGAGGCAGTGCTTGTCTGCGGCTGTCCATGAATCCAGGCAGCTGTCTGCTCGTGGAGGTGCCAGGTCTGACTGGTAGCTTCTCATTCCCACGTCGACAGACCCGAGAACCCGGTGAGTGCTCCCTGCCCACAGCACTGTACCCAGCTTTCTTCCGGCAGAAAGAGACAGCTCACCTCATCTTTCCCATCAGTGTGAAGTGCTAATGAAAGGAATGGCAATTTAAAAAAGTGTTTTCCAAGAGACAAAGAAGCCCAGGCAGCCTGTGCTGCAGGGAACCACTGTGCCCTGGGCAGAGCTGCCCCAGGAGGCAGATCCCTACTGCTTCCAGCTCCTGCCCAAGGTTCCATTTTCAGTGCAGAAAGCCTCAGGTGGAGCAGCAAAAGCCATCCGAGCAATTTTTCCCATTTCTTGCAGTCCTCTGTTGCACCCCTGTTTCCAACGTGATTTATAGTAATTAATGTGAGCCCAATTAAACCAAAGGGCCGAAACCACAAGTGCGTGTGCGAGCGGCAGTAGGGCAGTTATTGATTTATTTCTGAGGGCAGCAGTTTGTTTAAAGAAACAATTTCTAATATTCAATAAACGGCAGTTTTAATTTCTTCTTCATACATGATCTTAAAATGAGATTTTAATTTTTTTTTATTTATTCCATAAACAATATAACAAAACTCAGCAAGTTAACAATATGACATTTTCACCATACAGAGTCAGTCACAAATATTTAAAACCTTTGCAACAAGAACAACAAAACCAAAAATATTACAAGAATAATTTACAAGAGGATCTATAAAACAGCAAAGCGCTCACAAATTTTCCAGTTTCCTTTACACAATATCACTACACTCTTTCACAACATTTCTTTTTATTACAAAATTTCCAACAAAAGTTTAATTTTTTCTTTGTATTTTGGTTTTTAAAACCAGAAACTTTTAAGTATACATCCTTTTATTAACACCCGAAGGTGCAAAAAAAGGGAAACCTCACACATACAAACACTTCACAGCACTTTTCTAAGAAAAATATACACTTACAAAATATTTTACAAATTGGCACACTTAAAAATATACAAGATTTTGTAGGCGTCTTAGAGTGATCCTTAAGAATTATACTTCAATTGACTCTACAGAATATTTATAAAGCTTATTCTAAAAGAAAAAAGGCAAATAATTTCCAAACATGTTAAAATTGCAGTGTAAAATGTTAAACAGAAATGGATATGTTACATTCATAAAAAGGGCCATTTAATATTTCTTAAATGCTCGAGGGGGATAAAAGTTTTCTTTAGCACCATAAAACAGTAGCAACTTACTCGCGAGGTGCCTCTAGTTCTATGGAAGTTAACTCAAGGAGCAGTACATTCAAATCTCTGTAGGCAGCAGTCAGAACAGCCGCAGCCGGCGCTGTGGGATGTGAAACAGAGCATCTCCTTCAATTCCTACCCTGCTTCCCACGGGGAGTAAAAGACAAAAGGAGTTTAACCAGAATCCTTTTTTTTTTTTTTTCCTTTTTCTATTTTATTTTAAATCTTCCCTTTGTGCTTTTGAAACGTACTTTTTTTTTTTCTTTTTCTTTTTTTTTCTATCTATCGAAGGGTAACGGTGAATACAAATTTTATTTCTTGTTTCCTTTTGCACCAAGTGTTCAAAGGCTCAGTAAACGTGTCTGGCAACCCAAGTGTCCTGTGGGAAGGAGGACATCCTCCTTTTCTAGATCTGAATTCCCTTAGATGGCTCTTACTCCACTGTCATTAGTGTCACTTGTTTACCTGAGAAACAGATTTGAAAAGCCTTGCTTCTACCACAGACATTGTACTTTGTTTACTCTATATATTCTTTTTTGCATTATTTTACACGCTGAAGAGATAAAGAGGCACATTCTCAAATAGATGTCAGCGCCTTGAACCATGCAGCTGCCACCGGACTGTGGGAGCTGCACAGGCAAACTCCAACACGCTCAGTTGAGAAAGTAAGACCAAGGGCCTGATCCTGCACCGACTGAAGTCCATACACCTGATCCTTTTCTCACTTACGCTGACTTCAGTGGAGTTTTCTCTTGGCTCACGCCAGAGCAGACTGCGGTCCAGGAAAGCACTCGGGTGAGCAGTGGCCATTTGCTGCACGTGCTTCTTGCCCAAGTACTTTGCTAGACTGGGACCTCACAGAAGGAATAACGCGGTCCAACAGGCATGGGATTAAAACTCTTAGAATGTCTTGATTTTGGTTCCTGGCTCATTTGAGCTGTAATGCCAAAAACATAACAGTGATCTTGATTTATTTAAAAACCCAGCTGCACGGCATCTGCTGCACAAGTGACTGAACTTGGCTTTGCTCTCCATGTGGGGCTGGGCTCAGCAGGACAGAACCGTGCGGCATGGCTCACCTCCCTCCATCAGATACCTTGCTAAACCTGGTCTGTAATTCACAACTCTCTGTTTTTCAAGAAAACCTCTTATGCTTCGAAATTAAAAACAAAAAGCGAGATGTAAACCTGTTGGTTTTTTGTTGTTGTTTTTTTAATGATTACTTGAATCCCCATTGTTGATATTTTTATATTTACAAAACCTCTATATGCAAGTACCTCCAGCAAAACTGTGGCTATCAAGGGTGAGCTGGCTGCTCTCAGCTTGCTGTAGGGTTTCTCGTGGAAGGACACTGTCCTTGCTACGTATTCCCCAAAGGAGAATGGCTGCTTTCTCTGTCCTGTGGGAGACACACTCCATTGAGGATCGTGTTAAACTGCCCCGCTTGGTCTCAACCCACTTTTACAGTCATTTTTTGTAAGCAGCCACTTTCTTTCTAATTTTGCTGCTGACTACAGTTTGCCCAGCTGCCGTGGTCCAGCACGGCACCGTTCAAGAGCAAAGCACTACACATCAGGTAGTGATGGGATGCCTCTAAAGCAGGGGTTGAACAAGATCAAGTAGAACAGACATCCTAAGGGATGATGCAGAATAAACATCTTTGTGTAGCTTGAATTAATCACCCTGAACAGCCAGGAGCCTGACCAAAGATGGCTGCAAGTGCATGGGGGTCAGCCAAGACAACAAGTTTTGGATGGGAAAGCCAAAGCGAATAAGCCTGAGGGGTGCATGGAAAGAGGGTGGAGGAAAGATGGGACAAATATCCCATGGCTGCAAGCAGCACGTGGAGAAATGAAAATTGAACAATCCTGACAAAGGCAAAGGGAAAAACTGAAGTTCTGTGACAAGGAATGAGGCAAAGGTGGAAGTGATTAAAATCCTGAGGTAGTGATAGGCAGGTGGAGATCAAAACCAAAAGGGAGAAGGACAAATGTTTGGCTCGTGGCAATTGCCCAGATTTGGTAATTTTGGAGCACGTTGACAGGGGTACAACTTTCAGACACAGAGAAGGCATCAGGGCTCTTGAAAATTTCCGTGGTCAGGGATGTGGGATGGCAACCAAAGATGGCAGAGAAAAAAAGGAGTGAAGGGAGAGCAGCAAGGAAGGCAGCAGGCATTTGTAACTAACACTGTCCTGAAATGTCTGGCAGCTGTGTTATTCCTTGGTTTTCCGTATTTTGGAGCACCTCTCTTAAGAATAAATGCTGAGGCAGATGGGCTTGTTCACCTTGGAGAAGAGAAGCCTCTGGAGAGACCTCGTTGTGGCCTTCCAGAGCTTATAATCAGGAAGGAGACCAACTTTTTACACACTTTTTACAAAGGGGAATGGTTTTAAACTAAAAGAGGGGAAATTTAAATTACACGTGAGAAGGAAATTCTTCACTTGGAGCTTGGTTAGGCCCTGGCACTGCTACCAAGAGAGCTGTGGGTGCCCCATCCCCGGAGGTACTCAAGGCCAGGTGGGATGGGGCCCTGGGCAGCCTGAGCTGGTGGAGGGCAGCCAGCCCATGGCAGGGGGCTGTACGATGGGCTCTGACTTTCCTTCCAACCAAAGCTATTCTATGATATACAATAAAACACCCGATATGTCTTATGATTCATATTTGTGCCCTATTGCACATTTCTCAAATGCAATAAATATTGCTGCCTGTTCCAGTACAACTTACTTTGTTATGGATCACACAGCTTAAACGTTCATCATGAAGAACACAGTGTGGGCCAGTGGCCAGTGCTCTCAAAGCATGGTTCTGGATCAAAAAGAAGGGAGATGCCACAGCCTCACTGCAAGCCTGATCTGTCTCCACGGGAGCAGTGGGTGCAATACACCGAAGAATGGAGCCAGGGGTCCTTCAGTGCGCAGGACGAACACATTGAGGGCTTGGACCCAGAATGACTGTATGGATAGAAAAGACAGCTACAGGGGGATGCAGGAGAAAGCACTGCGGCACAAGTAAGCCAAACACCCAGGGCTGGAGCCCTTGCACAGTTCTTGTCTCCAAGATTCCAAGCACCTTCCAAACTCCAAAGGCAGGGTAGGATCAACACTCACTCCTGCCTGCACCACCTGTTTTTTCATTAAATAGAATGTAATGTGATCGTTGTGCTCTCTTGTTGAGGGTGACAGAACACTGGAACAGGCTGTCCAGAGAGATTGTGGGGTTTCCGTATCTGGAGACATCTAAAACCCTCTTGGATGTGTTTCTGTGTGACCTGATCTAGGTGTTTCTGCTCCAGCAGGGGAACTGGACTAGATGATTTTTCAAGGTCCCTTCCAATCCCTGATATTCTGTGATTCTGTGAATTGCTATACCTCAAGATCTGAGAATCCGCAACTACTGGAAACACTTTGATGCCAGTTTGACACTTTGCATCTCCAAGTGTTCAATGAGGAACAGTCCATGTTTTCGCTAAATCAACCCAAATCTTCTGTTCAGCCACTCCTGATGCTTTGGCTTTCAGCATGGGCTTGTACAGAGAACTGAGTCTAGTCCTGTGATATGTGCAACACCACCTCTATGCTTGTGAGCATGAGAGTGATCTGTCGGCTACATTAAGGCTCCATTTCCTCACCCCTTTCTATTGCGTGTGTCTGAGCCTCACACCCCTCTGCTTCCAACAGCTCCCAGCTAGCAGGTCTCTTGCATATCAAGGTTTCATAAGAAATCAGCAGCAAAATGCACAGGCTCTCAGTTGCACAAGGAAGAGATTGTTTGCTTGTTTGCTTGTTTTTGTTACTTTCTTGATGGGCGAGGGTGCAGTGAGTAGGGTTACAGATAAGGCCTTTCAATAATACATTTAGCATTCAATACTTAATGCTGTCGAACAAAGTCCAGTCACGTATGAACCGGCCCTGATCAGCGAGATCACCAATAGTTCTGATTTCCTCCCTACGTTATGAATTGAATCAAAGGAAAGGCTCAGAGTGGCATTTAAACCAATGATTCTGATTTCAAAATGTCAAACTATACTGGCATTGCAAGGTTAGACATTTAGGAAACACCAAAGATATGAAATGAGAGCGCTTTGGACAGGCTCTGCATCAAAAATATTTAAGAAACTACTCAAAGTAAAAGTAAATAGCAATAAATGTATGAAACATATTAGTTCCGTTTTTATAATTATTTTAGAATTTATCCCAGGTTATTATAAAATATATAAAACTGAGATACAAAGAATTAGCAATGTAACTTTGCATTTCAAATGCTCTTCAGCTACAGGTTTTGCTTTAAGAAAACAGACACTTGAAAAGCAGCTGTTTCGTAGTCTCTAGATGCAGACACTCGAGTTCCTGTCAAACTTACCTGGAGTGTTTTCTGAACTCCTTCACCATTTCAACTCTCTCCTATAATGAAACTCAACATTTCACCATTATGTTTTTCTGCTCATGGTTTTAAAGAGAGGACATTACAATTTCCCAGCATCAGTTTCAAAGTTCCTTGTTTCTTTTTTTTTTTCCTTTTTTTTTTTCCTTTTTTTTCTTTTTCTTTATGAGCTTTAAACCACAGGGTGAATCCATGAAATGAGGTAAGTAAATTTGGCACACTTTTAGTTATGTCCATAAAACTTTTGGTAAGTTGTATAAGTGAACAATATTGTTTTCATTGTGAGTTACAGGTGCTTTCAAAGGGGGTGGTTAGTACTTAATAACTGGAATGTATCTAGTAAAATCAAAAGGCATAGCTGCAGAAAACACTCACAACCCAATGTTGATAGAGAAGTAAAAATATATACAATACAGTCACTTGTTCATAGTTTGGCACAATTTTTTGTTGTTGTGGGTAATAGTGCATAAACTACTGTACAACAGTATGACTTTTAAAACAGTCTTTCACAGAGAATACCAGATTAGGTTTGCTTTCAAATAATAAATTCCCACAATTTCAAACTCTTCGTTTCAGCACTTACATCTCAACATACCACAAGGCATATTTTGAAAGGAGCGAACGAAAAAAAACCAAATGAAAAAAAGAAACATCAAACGTCTTTTTTCTAGAAAAGGGAGTCTCTTCTTCAAATACAGGAAAAACCAAAAATGTTGTTTCTGCTTTAAGAAGAATGGAGTCTGATTCCCTGCAGAAAAACCAAACATTTTATGCCATCTTAGTTAGCTTGTGTGGAGTCACCACGACAGGATCAAATGTGCTAAACTCTGACACAGGAGATGAAGCTTTATGATGCAGGTTAGGAGATAAACAGCAGAGGGGGCTAGAAAGCACTCAAAATTGCCACATGAAGCTCAATTATGAATGAGTTTTCATTTTCAAACTAAAGAGCCTTTAGTTTAGAGATCTTGGCTTTTGGATGCATAACCTCTTTTTTTGTGTTTTGTTTTTTACAAAATGTTCAAAAAAAAGTCTTTCCTTTTCAAAATCATTAAAAAGATCGCGTCATCTTCCCCCCTCCCCCCCAATAAATAAGGAATTAAAAACTGAAGAAGCCAAACAGCAGAAAAGAGTAGCCTTGTTAGTGTTTTGTGTGTTTTTTTTTTATAACCCCAGCCAAGCCAGAAATTGGTCATTCTTTTAGGTAGCTTGCAAGTAATAAGTATTTTCATGCATTTAAAAAAAGAAAAAAAGAAAAAAAGAAAAAAAACAACGGAAAAAAAAAAGAAAAAAAAAAAAAACCAAAAACTGTAAAAGGGGAATGTCTTTTTCATGCAACTTTTGCTTTCAGGAAGGAAAAAATGAGGAACAGCGGGCTTAGCAGGTAGTAGGAAAGTTAAAGGGGCATTCCAGCCAGTTTGGTGCAGCATTACCTCAGTTTCTCAAAAGAAGCTGTCACAGGTGGGTCCTTATGGGTCTGTTCCCGGTCTGTTCGCTTTATCTTACAGTTCTCATCCCTCAGCGATTTAGAACTTGATTTATGACGGTACAGTTTTTTATGGGTAGGTCCGTTATTGCCTAAAGTGCTCAGGTTACTATAGTTTTTATCAAAAAAGGGAGAGTGAATGTCTGTATTGTACCCAGCTGAACAGTTGGGGCGACCAGGGTCGCAGGTGGCTGCTTTGCCGCTTTTACTCGAGCCCTTGTTGTTCGACTTGTGGTTCTTTGCCACTCCCGGCGAGCTGCTGTTCGCCTTCTTCTTAGACTCTTGGGGCGTCCCTGCTAAAATTTTAAGGGTTTTCAGTTTCAGGCTGTTCGACTCCGGCGATCGGAATATGTCCGGCACGCTGTTATGGTTGACAGGTCCCCACAGGGGCTCGATGGAGGCCATCATGAACCTCTGGACGTCTGCCATTCCCGAGGCGATGTTGGACAGGATGTTGGAGGGCTCCTCGAACTCCCTCTGGTCATCATCCAGCAGGCCTGTGGTGCTCCCAAGGCTTGTTTCCGACCAGGCGGTGCCACCATCCTTCCCCAGTGCCCATTCTCCAGCCAGGCCGTTGTGCTTGCCCAGCTTGCCAGTGGCGGGGCTGCTGTGCTGAATGCCGTCAGCCAGCCCCTTGGGCGCGGAGGCTGGGCTGGCCAGCTGGCTGACGGCCCTGCTGCCACCCACTTGGGCCTTCTCGCTGCTGAGGCTCACCGCGTTCTTCCCCTTCCTGGTGGATTTGGGTGCCTGCCTGGAGTTCTTCCCTTGCGGCTTATCGGTGCCTTTGTTGGTTTTGGGAGATTTTTTCCTAGTGGTTTTCTGGGAAGAGCTTTGGTTTGTACCCGCATTCTTGCTGGATGAACTTTTCCTCTTAGATTTCGACACTTTGCTATTGGTGCTAATTTGACCAGATGGCTCATTAAATGTTGACAAGCATGGTCTTTTTTCAAGAAGGCTGACAGAATCTTCATCGTTGAACATATGGAACTGAAACTGGTGATTATTTAAAGTAAACCCATTATCTGCCTGCTCCTCGGTCTGCAGGACCCCGCAGTTCCACTTGACCTTCTCGGAGCTGCTCAGAGCAGCCTGGGCACTCTCCGGGAAGCCCTTAAGGGTGCCCAAGGGCTTGGTGTCGGAGCCAGCTATCTGTGGGGAAAGGTTGGGAGTGTCTGGAGGGGACATCTCCGAGAGCGATGACTGGCGGAACTTATCGGGTGTGAAGTTGGAAATGTCTAAAAGGTCCGTGGACTCCTTCAAAGGGGTTATTTCATCTATGCTTTGCTGGATCACTAGCTTGGGACTGCAGTGGGCCAAGAAATCGTCATTAATATCATCGTCACCATCCTTTTCGCAGGACTTTAAAGAGCTGTAATTGCTAGAACTAACTGACAATGAACCCACTGAATCAAAGCTAATGAGTCTGCCATCATCTGTACTTAGTGTACCTCGCTGGAAATGAAAGCGCCCCTCTCCATTATTAAAATGACACGACTGATAAGAATCATCAGGCTGCACTTGCTGGCTATCTGGCATGTAATTTTTTTGGTAGAGCAACTTGCTGCTATTCAGATTGACTTGAGGGTAGCTAGAGGCCGGGAGGCCATCAGTGCCTGCTGCACCACCAAACTCGCCTGTCAGTGCTGCGGTATCCTGCAGCTCGCCACCGAATTCCTGCCGGTTGCCCCCAGCAGCCTTGCTGGCCGGCCACATGCTGCCAAAGGTGCTCTGCTCCATCTCCAGGTGGCCAGGAGACTGCTGCAGCTCAGACTCAGACGGCGGGGACAGCACACAGCTCTGCGACGGCTGCAGGGCAGTGAATGGTTTGTCTGCTGGGATGATGCTGGGGAGTGGGTGCTGCTGCTCAGAGGGATGCTGTGCGAAGTATGAGATGCCGGTGCTGCTCGACAAATCCGAAGCGTCTAATAGTGTCTGCAGATACCCTCCGGGGATCAGGGGTACATTGGTAGTGATATTAGCAGATGGCAGAGGCTTGTCTGAAGAGGAGGTGGATGGTAGGAAAGGAGAATTTTTAGCAATCTTATCCTCATGGCACTCTGAGAGATGGGAGCTGTCTGAAGCACAAGGAACGTTTTCATCCTTCAGATGCACTGCAGAGTCCTGGTTTCCCAGAGCTGGGCAACCCTCCGCCACGCTGGCAGCAGCTTTGATTTTCTTACATTTCAACCTGGCTTCACTTTTGAATTTGATCCGGCGGAGCACTTTCCTCTCCGTCCCCTTGTATTCTCGTTCCTGCGATTTGCATTTCACAGCAGCGATGTCCGTGATGTCATTTACGTGTAATCCATTTGCACAGCTGGGGGTGGCAATGGCTAACGCCTGCAGCCCTTTCAGGCCTGCATCCTCCTTACTGCTGCAAGGCTGCTTGTGATCAGAGGAGCAGGAGCCCAGCTTGTTCACTGACTGCTCAATGGCTTTAATTCTTTGAATCCTGTGCCTGTTTGCTAGCTTGCATTTTCGCTTCCGTGGGTGAGGGAGGAACGAAGCATCTGAACCGTTAAGATAGAAATTCTGCTTGTGGTAGAGAGACGATCTGAGCAAATCCAGCCGGCTCTGCTGCCTCTCCTGCCAGAAGCCCTTCAATGGGGCCAGCTTTTCATATTTACTGAGCAGCTCCTCGTTCAGGGTAACAGTTGTCTCGTTGGCATCCACTTTGCTGAGCTTCACCAGCATATGCTTCTCCCCTTTAAACCTGTTAATGATGATGTACTTGATGATAACAGGGGGTTCCTTGCGAGAGACTTTTCGCCGTTTCTTGGGGCACCACTCGTCGTCATCCTCCTCCTTGGGCCCGTCCGGCAGCCACTCCTTCTTGTCCAGGATCTTCTCGTTCTCAATGGAGTCCACGTCATACAGGTAGTCGTCACTGTATCGCACTTTCCTCTTTGCCCGCAGCCCATAGTTCTGCTGGATGAAGGAGCTGGAGTGGTCCCGGGACAGGTACCGGCTGCAGTCCTTTATATCCCGCAGCACATCGTAGGAGGACTCTGTGCACGTGCTGTCGTCGCTGAACTCCCCAGAGTCCTCTGTGGAATTCACAGAGTCCAAGAAGTGGCTCCTTTTAGGGCCCACGTACTGCACCACCTCCGTGCTGTTGCAAGATTTATTTAAGGCAGCTTTCTCCTCCTCCTCACCATCCTCTTCTTCGCCGTCCTCCTCCTCTTCCCCCCAGATGATGCCTTCTTCGGACTTGAATTGAGAAGGGTCGGTGGCACCACCGGGTCCCCTTTTCAGGGTGCTCCTGCTGTCCCTTTTGGTGCAGTTGCCGAAGACGCTGGGGAAGAAGTTGAACTGGGCATCCTCTTGTAGGGCGGTGGTCTTCTCCCGCACGTTGTCCTGGAACGACTCGTATCTGATCTTTAAGGAGCAGACGTCGCTTCCCAAGGTCGAATCGTCATCATCAAACATGTAGTTATCCACATCTTCCTCAGAAAACAGATTTACAGAAAGCTCATTTTTGGAGCATAGGTCAAGCAGCTCAATTTTACTTTCACTAATGAAAGATTCAAAATAGCCCCATTCCTGGTTGGGATTTGTTAGTAAGGGTTCCTCACCATTGCATTTGTCTAATAGTAATCCCTCGTAATAATTTTTCTGAGTGGGGTCCTCTGAATCACTGTCAGATTTTTCTGCATCTCTTTTGTCCGCTGCCCTCGATTTATGCATAGGGAAGCTTAAAAGCTGGTCTGAAAGCAGTTGATCCCCATATCTCATGGTTTCTCCTGTGCTCATGCAGTGAATCCCTATATCAGAGACCGAACAGGTGTCATAATCCCTATTTATATCCCCCACTTTCAAGCTTATTCCCGGCTCCGCATCAATGCCGTCCTTTGATTCAATGAAGCAGCCCAGGCAGGTCCTGCTCGGCTGCATCAGGCAGTCTCCGGTCAGGGCGGACATGCCTCCAGGCTCCATCATGCTGAAGGGAGCCTTCTCACAGTCGCCCGGCAGAGACCAGGAGCTCATGCCCTTCGTCACGCAGGACGTGAGGGAGATGGCGTGTGCCGAGGAGTCGTCTGAGGTGTGCTCAGGGACATCGGTGAGCCGCAGTGGGGACGGCGGGCTCAACGAGCAGGGCTTCTTGGCAGGCAGGGCTGGCAGCACACGGTGGCACGCCTGGGTTTCCTTTGGGGCTGCTGTCAGGGCTGGGAAGGCGTCGGTGGTGTCGGCAATACTGTATGGCCTCTCCTCGCCGTCCGAGGTTCGTAGCTCTGGAGCAGTGGGAGGAGAGGAAGGGAGAAAAAGAAGAGTTTACAGATCTTGCAGCCCCGTCACTGTGCTCCCCCTCTCGCTGGGTTCAGGGGGGACTTGTCCCCCTCTGCAGGGTTGCAGGCTCCTTCCCCCAAGATCACACTCTCAGAGCTAATTAATTTCATGATGTACAAAAACCAAAGAGGTAAACACTCTGCCCCCCACAGCCAGCTGGAAGAGGTACAAGATTATGTTTAAAAAACGGAAACCATCCGTTCTTTCCTCCTAATATACATACTGTTACCTGGATACTCCCTTTCAAATCTGACAAGGTTATTAAAAAACAAAACAACTCTAATAAAAACGTTCCCATTAACATTTACAAAACTAACAGAAAAATGAGATTCTTAAAGAAACAAAGCATCCTCCTGGCAGTGCCTGCAGCTGAAACGCACCTGAGCTGCTGCAGGGTCACAGAGTTAGGGCTGCTTTAAATCCAGAAGCCTTCCTGCCACTGTCCGTGCGCAGGGAAAGCAGGCGGCGGTGGAGAGCTTAAAGCAATTATTAGAATTACTGCTGGTTTTGCAATTCTTTCCATTTTACCTAATCTTTAAAATGTCTTTTGCGTTCTGTAAGGTGTTTTGTTTGTTTTTTTTTAGCTTAAGGATTTTTATTTTCTTTGCCTGATAGTAGATTTTTATGGCAAAGTAAAATCATTTATCTGGCTTCTGGCTCAGCAGATGGTATGACCCTTGAAATGGAAATGTCTTTTCATCCATGAACATGCTCTGATATCTCCATACTAAAAAAATACACAAATGTGTAATTCATAATAACCAGAGACCTCTGCTACCCTCAAGGTGACTCCCAGTGCTCACATCCCGGCACGTCTTACCTGTTTGGCCATTTCATGGAAAGCTGCGGGTCTGTGTGGCAGGGCCCTGCTCTTTGTGAGCAGAGGAGCACTGAAAAGAACGTGGAGGGGCATGGCCTGGCCCCACCAGGAAGAAACAGCAGCCTCTCCAGCACAGCTGGGACTGGGATGCTCACACAGAGCTGGCAAACATGGGAAGGAGCACCTCGCTACACAGTACGGAGCTGCTCTGCTGCACGTGTTCCCCAGAATCCCACCGATCTGGCCCCGAAAGCTGCCGCTACTTCTGGGCTCCTGGTAGCCTCAGGAATGGAGCCACTACTGAAGACTTAAGTCAGGACAAGGAAGCTACAGAATAGGCTTGAACAACTTTAAAAATGCTAAGCAAACCAAATCAGAAATCCAATGCAATGCCTGTATGCATCCTGAAGAGACAGACTTGCTGGAAATTGATGCTGTTTCCCTCCCTCAAAAAGGGTTAAAAACCAAAATAAAGCTCATTTCGGGTTCCTCCCACCATTTTTGGATTAGAAATGCAGAGGTGGTATCTTTTTCCTTAAGCAGCAAAACAAATTAACCAATGCACTTCCACCTTACAAGTAAAAAAAAAATAAGAATCAGCTTGGAGCTGAGAGGAAGCATGGAAAATTTGAGGATAAAAGAAGACTACGAATGCTGCAGCACTTGAAGAAAGGGGGAGGCGGAGAGCTGAAATTCAGTCTTACACAGAGATGCTATAATATAAAATATACTGTCTGTAGCTGTGTTTTTTTAAGGTTTATACTTGTAGAAGTGAACTTAACTCTTGTGAAATACAAATACCAAAACTTGATTTTGTAGAGGTTTTATTGTTCCAAAATCAGGCATGCAATCAGTGAAACTCCAAAGTAAATAACACTGCAAGAAGACTGCAATTAAAAAAGAAAAACACTGGAACACCAAAAAACCTTTTCAGCTTTAACTCAACAACTGCCCAAAATCAGACAGGCAGCCTTAGCAGAGGAATGCTGATCATCCCACTATGAATCAGCTCCAAAAGGAGGCCCATCCCTGAGCGTGCATTACAGCATCCTACGGGCTGCTCTGGATTAAGCCCAAGCAGTGCAGTGAGCACCAACTTACAGTGAGGGTGAGATGATTCAAGAAGCAACACCCCTATGTCATCAATAGGGAGGTGGTGGCATTAGAGCAACTCGCTGCTTGGGATTCAGCAGCAACTCCTACACGACAATGTTTAATTAAGATCTGTTTAACTGAATTTCATAGAAATGGTGTCAGGTTCTAGAAATCACCTCAGTCTTTAATGAGGAGGTACTGTCTGCCAGATGAGACGAGGGGAGCGTGGCTAGAAAACCTCCTTGTAGCTCCTGCAGGTGCCACAAGCTGTGGCTTTACATCCTGCCTCCATGCATTTCTGAATGCGATGGGCTGGCGAAGACAGAGATCTTCAGAACTGCATCATACAGGAAAGTGCAGGCGTACTCTTCACCTGCCTCCAGTATGTGTTGTGGGGACCTCAGGGCACCTGTGTGTCTGGAGTTGCTCCAGGTTTTAGTAATGAATGAGAACAACATTTGCTTCTGTGCATTCTCACTGAGTAAACCTCACGTTGACAAGACAGAAGGATTTGAACGCACACGGCGCTGGAGAACAGTGTACTAGATATCTTACAGGGACCAATTTACACACAGTGCAAGATTTGTAGGTCAATACAAATTCTGAAAAGCCATGAAAGTAACCATAAAAACACAAAGAACTGAAAACACTGAGTTCTGCTTCAACACCAGACTGCTGCTGCACTTACTGCGGCTAGTGACAGGAAGGCCAAATAAACGACACAAAGAAAATGCTCTGAGGAATTTTATTTCAATCAGGTTTTCAGGCAACACAGCCCCTGCTGCTCCAACCAACCTGGTGTTTTTGAAAGCAAGTAAGGAATAGATTACACCAACATTAGTCAGATAGTTGGGGCAGGCCGCGAGAAGAGGCTGGTTGGTCCCAGCAGTGCTGCAGAGGCTCCCAGGATGGTGACCATGACCAGCAGTACGACTCCTGCACACAGGTGTTACAGGCCAAGCGATGGGCTGCAGAACAAAGGTAGCACTGAGCCCCCAGGTCTGACCTTCCCTACCGGTCACTGCTAACCCAGCTCTCTTACTTCTGCCCAAGCTCCAACTTGCCCTAAATTTGTAGGAACCGAAAATCCTCCATCAAATCTGCCTGAGAGTGGCTTATGTAATTGTGAAGAGGGGGAAAGATTCCCAATAGAGGGGATACATAATCTCATAACACTTTTTTCCCTAGGAAACCAAACTAAAATCTATAATTCAAACTGCGTGTGCACAAAAACATTTCCAACCATGCATATGCATGGGCAAAAGCAGTACTTGTTGAGACCTAAAAAGCTGTACATCCATAGCTGGAGTACAGAAAATATCCATTTCCTCTACGGCTCCGCATTGTAGAGATACCTGCAAACCACTAAAATTAAATACATGAAAGGAATTAGAAAAATAAGTTGGCTTGTGAGTTGTCACTGCTCCCTCACGTGCTGTAATTAAGTTCCTTACCATTTTCTTTCACCCCATTAATCAGGATAGTTTCTTGGTCTTCTGAGGCACAATCCTGCTCTTGTTGGTCATCCATCAATTTAACCTCTTTCTGTTCATTCCATGCCCCACTGCATCTGGCCAACCTGCACATTTCCAGAAACATAACCACAGTCAGTACAATTCCCCAAATCAGCTCAAGGAACCGTGAATAAAAAATAATGACAATAAAAATAAACACACAACATTACATGCTGCCCTTGCCCTGCTTAAGAGGACAAATGCTATTTATTTAAGCTATCGTATTTTCATTTTTCTACTCCAAAAGCCAAGTCCAACACATTTCAGCAGGGTTAAAATGATATATATCCCAATTTCCTTCCTCAAAGTCCCGCTTTAGAAGGTGGAGTGGTGTTCTACACTTTCAAAGCGCCTTTCATGTCACCTGAAATTGCTTTGCAAAAGCAGGTAAGCGTTATTATCCCTGTTTGGCAGACAGGTTAGCAGACACACAGAGAGGAGGGGACTCGCCCCAGGTCTGACAACAGCAATTCTATGGCAGAGTTGGAAGAAAAACTCAGATGTCCTGAGTAATAACAGCTCCGCGAGCTGCCAGATAGTACTCTCCTCATCCAGGCACTGCCAGGCATGAGAAATTTCACCTAAGGAGCTTTCTGGAATAAGTATCTCCAGTCTCATTTGTCACTGAAAACACTTCTTCACCATCAGAACTCCTTCCTCAGAGAGCTGCTCTCGTTCCCATGCCACCTACCAGCACTCACAGTCCATAACCACATCAAAATTCCTCTTGGTCCTATTTGCATCCATCATTTCTTGGAGGCATCAAACCCAGGATCCAGATCAGGGCCAGGTCCTCTCCATTCCTCTGCTGAAAATGCCCCATGTTGAAATCGCTGCCGCCCAAGGAGAGGAACATGGTGCAGTGGAGACACAGCTGAGTCCTGGCACAGGCAGCAGGGAACAACCAGACGAGTGGGACTGGACCACTTCAGCCAGAAATCACAGACCGAATCTGCCTGTAGCTTCTGGCAACCTGAACTCAACTTTCACTCTCACAACAGATAATAGATGGAAGCACTGGGCTTTTTTTTGTTTTTAAATCAACATTTGTCAATGCCTCATCTTCCCACAGTACTCACTGCCCTGGGTTCAGCAGCCAAACTTCATTGATATTCAGATTTGCAGTGAAGCCCTCTTAATTAATGTGAAATCTTTACAACCGTCTTAGTAAGCAAAACCTTCACTGAACTTAAAGATGTTGTGACACCAAGAGTAAGATAAGAATAACAAGCATCAGTAACCCAATTCCTTTGCATATTTAGAAGAATATTTAACTAACCCGCCGAGTTTTACTGCGATGCAAATCCATATTTCAAAGCTCACGACAAATCGCTGGCTCCAGTAAGCCTTCTCTCCCTCGCTGGCACCCGGGGCTGCCACCAAGGCTGACAAAAGGCAGCTGAGCTCAGCTGAGGAGCTCCAAACTCCAAACCACACACCAGGCTGGAGTACTTACGTGTAACTTGAAGTAGATTAACTTTTAAGTATGAAAGCTGCTCAGTAACATCCTATAACATCATGCCTCCTTAGTAACACCGGCCTGTTGAATGGGAGGCTGAAGCAATATGAGCAATATGTGGGCCAGCAAGGCTTCTGGGAGCGGCTGTTAGTGGCACGAGAAAGCTTTGTGAGAAGGAAAAGCTGAGTTATTATTTACGGATACCCAACAGACTGTAATTTGCTAGATGGGTTTTGTACATCTTCATGGTTTGCGAGGTGCAAGAGACCTTCCATGTGAACTGACTGTAGGTGGGTCAGGCTGGAGTCCAGAGTACTCGGCTATGGATGCTCACACATCTCAACCTGCTGCTCACGGTTCGCCTCAAAGCACTCAAAGAGCACTTGTGGATGATCAGACTGGCATCTTTACAACACAAACAGATCAGCATTCCTGTCTACTCTGATCTCTGCTGCCTTTCTGAAGCACAGAGGTAATGCTCCAAGAGAGTTTCATCTGTGCCAGCTCATGCTGGGGCATTCTTCCTTCCCCAGGGAGCAGGACACGGCACCCAGCAGGCACCCACTGTGACTGCAGTCCCTCTGCTGGGCCCCAGCTGTGGGGCTGACTGCACTGTGGCACGCTGATAATTCTGGTCGTGGTTTTTCCTGATGGTCACTGGCAGATGCAAAGTGAAATGGAGAGGCCATGCTGTAGCACTTCACTGGTGACACTCTGTACCTGAGGAATTTCCACACTTTCCCAGATTACTTTTTACCTTACTGACATGCTGGCCTCCCATGCACCTTGTAGTAATGCATGTGGTACCTTCTGTGCTGTATAAAATGAACCACCTTTTGCTCAGTTTCAGCCTGCAGTCCTAAAAGGATGGGCTCAGAAATATGGCCTCAGTCCCAGACAGGACTCTGAGTATGACTGCTATATAGATATTTAATTATAATAACATTCATCAAGAGAGTCACGGCAATATTTCACGTGATCCAAATACACAATGTAGATGAGGACACTACCAACCCTTTCTCACTGTTCACTGTGTAACCTATAGGAACTAGGCTGAAGGACAAGAGATGATCCAGAACTTGCTGCAGAAAGATTAATTCTGCACATCAAGTCTCTGCTTAGCAGCAAAACAAGATGAGGCCTATGGCCACATCTTCCATCTACCCACATCACTCAGAAGCACAAGCATCATCTCTGCACTGGTTTACTGACCTGATTTTTTGCCAGGGTTTATCTGTTTATAGCAATTTGGTGTAAAATGCCACATGTGGCCTGTTTTCAACTGGTAACATAATCATATTAAAATAAGAGCTTGCGATGAATAAAACATAATACAAAAGCAAAAACAATGATTCTCCAATAATGTGGATTTGTCTTTTGCAGTGCACAAAAGATGTCCAGAGAGAAAACTAATGTGGACATAAAACACCAGCAGGCTTACAAAGAAGGATCCCAGGCACTATTAGGAAGGCATCATCCTATTGCCACTGGGACTTCTTGAAGGAGACAGGAGCAAGGTCTTACGTGTGTGTTTGCAGACGCGTCCCTGCCTGCTGGCTGCTTGCTGCTGGGGTGTGACTGTGGTTCGTGCTGCCCTGGGGCTGCCTGCCAGCTGCGCATGTTGGAGGTGGGATCTGCAAGCGAGATGTGAGGGTAGCTTTGCTTTCTGACCCTCATCACTTCTCACCACGTGTCACAGGCAAACCTCATGGAGACAGCGGGACTCGCTGTGCAAAAGCCAAGCTACAAGCAAGCAGGCAGTTGGACAGTCAGAGACAGAAAAAGACAGCCTATAGGTGGGGAACCTGGGTGATTTTTCATCCCCTGTTGTTATTTTTTGGGATGCAAGTGCACAGGAGGGAGGGAAACGCAGAAGGAAAGTTTCTGGTGGATGTAAACCAAAGACTGGAGAAGACAAAAAGGATGATGATATGCAAGAATGAAGGAGCTCTGCCTGCAGACAACTGCTTGCTCGACTGAAGTACCTTGAGCTGAGTTCTAGAAACGAGCTGGAAAGAATTGAAAGGAATTCAGAGAGGGGATCTTCAGATATGGCTGAAGAGAGATGAAGTGCAAATGAAACAGACAATTTAAGGTTTGCAGGGACCTGCTGAACAAGAGGACCTCTCCAGAGCACTGTGACGACAGAAGGTCAGCTCCCAAGGTGGACAGGGAGAAACGCCAGCAACTGTGAAATAAAACTGACAAAGGGGCTTGACGCAAAGCAGAGCAAGAAGAAACCGAAGACTGGGAATAACAAAGTGGAGAAGAACAGCTGGGTCTCCGGTAAGAAAAGCTAAACCAACAGAGAGCTGGGGTATAAAGGTGATCGGCAGAGAATATAGTGGGTAGCAGGAGAGCTGAACAGAGCCATATGCAGACAGAAGAACAAAGGGGAGAGGCTTCGGCTTGCAGACAGCATCCAGCCATTGAAGACACACACAACTGAGGTCACACTATTATGAAGAAGCAGCAGGAGGAAATTCAGTCACAAGCTTGAAGTTTATGAACTTGACTGGAGCTGGAGTGGATGGAGGAAGATGATGGTGAAAGCCATGGTGTCGGACAAACTCCAGCTCTCTGGAGGAGGAGAGCAGGAGCACAGCATGCCAGGCTGGGCTTCAAGGGCAGGCAGGGTGGTTCAGTCACAAGGAAGAGTTCCTAAGGACAGCCGAGTCCTGACTGCACTGTGTACTTTGGGATCTGCTAAGATCACAGCTGGCATAACTGAAAAATGTGCTGGCTATGAAAGGAGATGGAAAGAAAGGAGTTGCAGAAAGCAAGCACTGGAGCTGGAAAATAATCCAACTTGCTTTCAGCAAGAGATGGACAAATTAATGGGCAGAAGGACAGGAAACAATTGCCTGTGATAGCAGCACACAGAACTCCGTGACCTGGAGAAATCCCTTTCAGTCATGCAGCTGATGTCAGCGGAAGGACTGCAAGTGCCTCAGAAAAAACTTCACCACCACAGCTGAGAAAATTCTCCCCTTCTCACGTCTTCTGTACATTTTCCCACTACTCATGATAACAGGGTTGTGCAAAAGCTGTTAGCAACAAGATCGTGTGCAGATGTCTGGCAGAACACCAACAAACACCGAAAGTGGATCCTCCCATTTACCTCCTGTCACTTCGGGAGCAGGTCCGTGGCCTTGGAGCGTGTGCTCTTCAGCTCAGCTGGCCACATAACCCAACACTTTTTTGCGTTTTTCTTTAAAAACCCACCTGATGATTGAGAAGCCTCATGGGCGTCACTACTGCTGGAGCATCTGTCTCAGAAGACAAACGTGGTCAGAGTAATGCCCAAGCTGAGGCTCCCTGAGCCCCCTCTGCTCCTGGTGACATGGCAACAGCCCAAGCACACTCAATATGACACATCTTGTCAGTTAGCTGGAGTAAAATGAATGTATTTCTTTGGCTATGAATTCAACAGAGTAAGTATGCAAAGCAACAACAACACGAACAACACTCCCTACAGGAAACAAAACTGAGGGGTGCCAATTATCTACCTACAACAGAGGAGGAAATGCTCGAATTACAAAGCTAAAACATCTGGGCATGTTTCCATGTTCAAGTCAAGTAAAGGACAGGCTTTATGTGCACTTA